GTTGGTGGTCGTCTTTCGCAGTCAATGAAAGATTACGAATCTCAGCATCCACTGATCCTTCATGGAAAGCATTATCTGTCAACCTTGATCGTACAGAGCGAACATAAACGATTGTGTCATGCTGGTCCAAAGCTTACTTTAGGATCTCTTCAAGATACCTATCACATCATTAGTGCATTTCTGGAAACGATGGTCTGCTGAATATCTCAATGGCTTACAACGATTTAACAAGTGGAAAGTTCCAAAACGAAATCTTCAACTAGATGATATTGTCCTCGTTAAAGACAATCGTACACCAACTTGTCAATGGCCTCTTGCTCGAGTCACAAAGGTTCATCCGGGTCCAGATAAACTTGTTCGAGTCGTTACTGTACAAACGAAGACTGGCACCTTCATCCGACCGATTGTGAAGTTATGTTTACTTCTACCAGCGAAGGAAGTACCAAAGAAAGATGATGAAATGAAGTGAAGTAATGAACAATGAACGAACATAAGTTTGAACAGATAAGTTTAGATATATGTTTATATTATTTCATGACATTCTTGTGTTGATCCAATCAAGGCCGGCGGAATGGACACGCGTTATATGTATTACATAAAGTATTTAGCATAATTTAGCAAGCGCATGCGCAGTAAGCAGGCTCGTAAGAACACATGTTTTGTAGAAAAAGAAAATATAAGTTTTACCTCTGTTACTCGTTGTTTTTCTTGGGTAAAACAAAGGACTGCTAGCTAGGCAGTTAAAAGCAAGTAAACAATCGCATCTACAATCATGACTAAAATGTTGACAAATGAAATCCAAATACAATGAAGAACCACGAACTGTACCTACCCAGGTCATCGATGCTTGAAAGGAAATAATTCACACGTTCCTCTAGCGTGTCTATATACCCCTCAGTTTGGTCACGCACTGCATTGTGGTCGGCATTACACACGTTGATCGGCTGCGCATGCAGCGACCCAATTAACTCCCGCTGGTTTTCAAAACGTGCGCAAACTCAGTTATCGATTCTCGGCACTAAACAATCATGAGATGTCACGCACAGAAACAAATATGGAAGTTATTAGTTATAAACAACGCGCAGTGTACAATGAATTGGTATTTGCTTTGTTTAATTTGACCCTCATTTTCAATAATTTATTCAACGTAATACTCTTGTGATTCTTGTTAATAAGCACAAAGCAAATAAGCAATAACATGCTTTAATTGTCCCTAAAGTAAAAATTGGTATACATTAGTCATAGGATTGACGCATGACATCGAGCGATAATAGGATTGATTCTGAACTCTTATTAACCATAGATGATCATGAAGAAGCAAAGTAGTTAAACCAAGGGCATACAGTCATGCACTGTTTAAGAAATAGAGTAAATCTAGTATTAACATATTACTCATTAGAAACGCTGGCCATGCAAGCTTGCCATCATCATGTACCAATACAGTTGGAATAATAATTTGCAAGTTATTTTCTCCTGAAGACTAACTGCAGATTGGCGCTTGAGTTTCCAGTTAGAGGGATGTATCACGCCAACCATCTCGTACACCTTGAAAAAAATCTTTTAAAAAATCCCCGAAAAATAAATCCTTCAAAAAGCAGTCCCAAAAATCCCACATAATCTTTCACAGTCACAATATTTGGGAAAATTCCTAAATATCCCCGCAAATCCCTAAAACAATTCCAGGAAAATCCCCCAAAATCTGGGAATTTTCGAAATCCCCACTGAAATCTCGCCGCACTTTTTTAGTATTGATATACCACTCGTTACAGCGTGCTGCCCCATACAACACGTACCATGAACAGTTTTTATTCAATAATAACTTGATTACGTACACCTCAAGCTTGCACTGGTTAAAAATTAAGAAAAGATTATGTATCTTCATAACCTGTCACTCATGAAGATGTGACAACTTACTGGCAGCCCGGGTCCAGTTAGACTATTCTTAATAATTCAAAGGTCTGTAGTTTGCGCTGCATTGTCTTACAAAGAATAATGTAAGACCAGGGCCGTCCTCAGGAAATTCTTCAGGGGGGGGGGGTATAAGTGTAAGGCTATTTCAACCGACTTATGAACGAACTTGTTCCGACCACATGCTAACCATGGAAGCTTGTAAAATTTCCGATGGAGGTCAACTAAATTCAGGGACCGCCGTGCCATTTACCGCGGAGCCATTTTTGGATTAATAAAGGGGGCTATAGCGAACGCCGAAGGCATGGGTTTGTTAGGGGGTCTGGGGGCATGCTCCCTGGAAACTTTTGTAATCTGAGACCTCACAGAGCCCCGGAAATGCAATCAAATTTACTAGTTGCTGTTAAAAAGTTTCTTAATAGACGACTCTTAATTAATCTAATATTAGGCCCGTCATTTGTTTAATCCAACCAGAAATAGATTGTGGAATACTTGGCTATATAAGTTATAACTAGAAATACATGCATGCAGTGACCCCTCGCCAATATTTTCCAAACATTAAATTAACATGAAGTATTCAGAAATGGCCCACTGAATGCAGGCTCGCGCTCAAGTGTTGCCATGACAACACGATATCATAGATGACGATATTCTTAATTTTTTAAGTTTTTCATATTTTTTGTACAAAACTGCAAAATAGTTGAAAGATTCGTACTTTTAACTATACAACAATAAATTTCCGAAATATATACTCTATAGGTATTACGTATATTATTTTGCATTTTGTAAGCTTTGATTTAATGTAAAATTTAACTTCAAACGCTTCGTAAAATGTTTTGAAATCTTCATTCAAATATAGTTCATTTGGCGATAAACTAATAATAAAACATAAGTTACAAATAAAACAAATTGTTAGGTAATTTCAGTTCAGTCTTCAAATCAATCTTTACCTTTTAAAATTTTTCCTTAAATTAAACGGTAATTTATGAAACCTAGAGCTTCGTTGAAAAGGAAAACAGTTCATGTTTTTAGGCAAAAAGTTAAAGCAACAAAATTCGTAAACATTAAATAGATATTCAAAGGAAACTTGCCGTATATTTCACGATTTCCCATAGTAATCGATTCTTCTCATTTCTTCAAACAAAATTGCTTCAAGCTTTTGTCCCCGAGCCGACGGCGCAAAGCGTCGTGTGAGGGTACTAATCCCCCCCGGCTATTTACACCCGGGGAAACGAAAGCATTAGTGAAGTCTAAAGTTTATCAAATATCGTGGGCGTCGGTCACCAACGATGGTGAGTGGGTGGTCATCCTCACTGATCTCAAAAATATGGCTGATTGCTTGTAGGAGTGGGATGAGCAAGATTTCAATTTCAAAAGACATATATTTGGGAAATCGTTTCATATGCAACAAGCTTGAAGTAATTTTGTTTGAAGAAATGAGAAGAATTGATTTACTATTGGCAATCGTGAAATATACGGCAAGTTTCCTTTGAATATTTAATGTTTACGAATTTTGTTGCTTTAACTTTTTGGCTAAAAACATGAACTGTTTTCCTTTTCAACGAAGCTCTAAGTTTCATAAATTACCGTTTAATTTGAGGAAAAATCTTATTATAAATGTATAGGAGAACAAATTGATTTGAAGACTGAACTGAAATTACCTATAACAATTTGTTTTATTTGTAACTTATTATGTTTTATTATTAGTTTATCGGCAAATGAACTATAGTTGAATGAAGATTTCAAAACATTTTACGAAGCGTTTCAAGTTAAATTTTACATTAAATCAAAGCTTATAAAATGCAAAATAATATACCTACAGTATATATTTCGGAAATTTATTGTTGTATAGTTAAAAATACGAATCTTTCAACTATTTTGCAGTTTTGTACAAAAAATATGAAAAAATTAAAAATTTAAGAATATCGTGTTGTCATGGCAACACTTGAGCGCGAGCCTGCATTTAGTGGTCCATTTCTGAATACTTCATGTTAATTTAATGTTTGGAAAATATTGGCGAGGGGTCACTGCATACATGTATTTCTAGTTTTATATGAAACGAATTTCCAAATATATGTCTTTTAAAATTGAAATCTTCTCATCCCACCCCTACAAGCAATCAGTCATATTTTTTAGATCAATGAGGATGACCACCCACCCAAGAGCGTTGGTGACCGACGCCCGCGATATTTGATGAACTTTAGACTTCGCTAATGTTTTCGTTTCCCCGGGTGTAAATAGCCGGGGGGAATTAGTACACTCGCACGGCGCTTCGCGCCGTCGGCTCGGGGAATATATTGTTAACTGATCTGAAAGATTTCAGTATTCTTAGTTTATAAAAATCACATATGTATGGAGAATTATGGGGGGAGGGGCTGCTCCACGGTCCCTGAAATTACGCCTGTTTGAGAATTGAGTTTTTGGCTGGAATATATTGTGTTCAGCGGTTCTACCTATCAAACATGCTACATATACTTCATTTAAGATCTTTTGTATCGCCATGTGGTTTTAACTGTAAATCTGGGCTTGTTTTACTAAAGGTTATAATGATTATCCTGCGGAGTAAATTTCGAGTAACCAAAATTTCCGTTTCAAATATAACAGGTAAAAATGATATCGGTAGTAGTTTTATTCGTCAAAAATATTTTTGTCTGCCGACTTTCTGGGGGTGTCACCCCCCCCCCCCACACACACATACACACACACACGGCACACCCCGTAGCTCCGGGCATGTGTTAAGACACCTGTTTATATTGTTCATGCAATGGTTGAGAAAAGGAAGCCGGACATCGTCATAATTACTACCAGTCAAAGATGGCACATCTTTCTGACACAAGAATTTCCATAGCCCATACGTGTATGGGAGGCACAAACTGAAATTTAAAGTCTTTTCTGCATTTTCCTCGACTTATGAAAAAATGTTTTCCGTATATTATTGTCCACGGAAATTCCAGAAAATTACTGTGCACGGGGGAGGGGGGTGTTTGAAAATCAGTTTTTCGATGTGTTAAAACTTTTAGAAACATGACATATTTCTTGCAATTTCGACTATTATTTCAAATATTCCTTACATTTTCGGAATTCGAATATCAGTATATCTATATCATATCTAAATTATTTCCCGCATCTCAGTTCCCAACTTACAATACTTGTGAACTCTTCTGCCCTCCCCCACCCCTCCTCCCGCCCCTCCCCTGTCTCTTACGCTTATGAGATTATTTGTTTTTCAAAACAGGTAATGGACCTTTCCCCCTATAACTAAAATTTTGAGCTAGACAAACATTTCATCACAGCTTGAAAGAGCATCACAAAATTAGTAATATTCCAAAGTTTCGTCACGAAATGTTGTAAAATGCGGATAATATAGCCTTGCGAAGTTTGCCGCCATTTTTCAGTCATTTTGTATTACGCATGGGAAATTGACAGCCCAATCGGGTGTTGGGGCATCATTTTCCCGTTTGTAATACAAAATGACTGAAAGTTGCAAATTTCGCAGGGCTATATCAGTATCCGCATTTTACAACATTTCGCAACGAAACTTCGGAATTTTTTCTAATTTTGTGATGCTCTTTCAAGCTGTGATGAAATTTTTGTCTAGACTTGTCTAGATCAAAATTTTAGTTATAAGGGAAAGGTCCATTCATAACAAACGATCAGGGGCAATAGATTGCTGGAAATCGTAAAACCTAAGGAAAGTTAAAATTTGTTTTAAATATTTATGTGTTGTTTGCTTGATATAATTATTAATACATAATTGCTTTAAAAAACAGATGTTGTTACTTGTGTGTAATGTACTAATGAGAAGAGACATATAATTTCAGTGTATTTTCATTAATTACCCCTTGTATATTATATTAGATTATTCAGTAAAAAATATTTAAGTAAAGAGGAAAGCAAGTTATTATTATGGCATGCGAGAATTTGAAATAATTTTATTTCAAACTGGAAGTTTAATTATACAAAAGGCAGTTTAATCGTCTTATGAACAGTACAACACATTTACTATATGAGTAAATTCTTAAACACGTCCGAATTTATCATTATGATAAAATCGCGGCACATTTTGAATGTACCATAATAATAAATTCGCGGCGCGCACCTAACACTAAACCCAACCCCAACCCTATAACCACTAACCCCTAATCCCTAACCCCTAACTTTTTTAACTTTTTAAATTTTTTAACTTTTTTAAAAATCTAACTTTTTAAACTTTTTTTGCTTTTTAAAACTCTTTTAAAACTTTTTTAAAACTTTTTTAAAAATTATTTTTTTCAAAATCTTGAAAATATCCCCCGCCCGACCATCCTCCCTTTTAGTGCCATTACATTTATAACAAGTCTTGTCTAATCTTGTGGTTTTATGATTAACTCTATTGATAAATTCAAAATGTGCCGCGATTTTATCATAATGATAAATTCAGACGTGTTTAAGAATTTACTCATATAGTAAATTCAAAGGTGGAGCTCATGTTGCACAACAACAGTAATATGATGTATTAGCAATTCGATTTCAATTCCCAGGGGCCTAAAATCTTTTATGCTTAAGAATTGCAAAGTGGCCGGATTTCTTAGGAAATTCCGAGGTTGCGCACTTTATAACGATATGTAAAGGAAGAAAGGACTTAGCTCTAGCGCTTCTTAATAATGCAATATTTTATATTTTTTACATTGTGCGCCAACGTGTATACAGTGTGTATAAAAAAAACTGAACCCTTTCAAATTCAAATTAGCTATAACGTATTGTAGTAATTTGACAGCTCTAATTGCTTTGAATAAGAACACAAGGGTAAGAACTTTGGGTAAGAATACAAGGTCTTGTACTCATGGGACGAAACTCAAAGAAATAAAGATTAGAAAATTTAAACGTTTTTAAAAGTTTTGTCCCATGAGTACAAGACCTTGTGTTCTTACCCAACCATTAATTCAAAGCAATTAGAGCTGTCAAATTACTACAATACGTTATAGCTAATTTGAATTTGAAAGGGTTCAGTTTTTTTTAATACACCCTGTATACCCCACTTTAATTGATCGTCGATGATAAAACCAAGAGATTGTTTTGCTGGTGACACGTTTAATATTAATATCTCCTATGGCTAATTAAATATCTGGGATGTCTTCAAAATTAGCGAAACGATATTGCAAGCTATGGACATTCTCGAGATCTCTTTTAAGTTTAGTCTCTACAGGTGAGTAAAAAAAACCTGATACTTCGCGGCTAATTTGAATAACAAAGGTGTCAATTTTTTTTTACTCACCCCGTATATTACCATTACTTGCTTGAGGATTACAACTGCCTGATAATCTATGCCGTTACGTTAATTTGATAAGAAAGCAAAGTCCCAACGGAGACCGTTCTCATGTTAGATATAAACATGTTAACTTGCGAGCGTGAAAGGGGCTTAGAAAATCGTCGTTAGATCAGTCCCCAATTAAGGTATTATCTTTTAAAAGTTAATTAATGTACTTCTGCCTACATGTATGATAAGTCCATGTCACAACACTAAACAAGTTATTTTGCCCGCAAATTTCTACCCTCGACAATAAAAATATAATACGACCCTCGGCTTTTCTATATGACTCTCGCGAGACATTGGACCACTCGACCTCCCACCCTCGGCACTCGACCCTCGACAAAAACCTAAACTCGACGTGCTTCGAAGGTGCTTTGTTGACAGATGCAAGTGGATTTAGATTTAGTATGACCGTGACCTTGGAATATCACTTGGAATATCACTTGGAATATCACTTCAACACTTGCATGGAATATCACGTGAAATATCTCTTGGAATATCGCTTGGAATATCACTTGGAATATCACTTGGAATATCACGTGAAATATCACTTGGAATATCACTTGAATCCACGATCGAGGCTCCGATCTAGAGATGTAGCCTCCTCCGCAGGCATCTCACATCATCTGTGCATTTGCATATACTTGTAACATTATCGTTGGGTTACAAGCTTTGAGTTGCTTGCTAGTGCAAGCATGCACGAAATGAATTAAGCATACATTCCTCATACCACGAGACGAGATTGGTCGTAAAATAATGTTGTTCACGATCTCTACAAGGTCGTCAACATGCAACCATAGTTTACTATCGAACACCCTCAAAAAGACTGGCTTCATAATTATCATCCCGATTATCCATCGTTATACATCGATTACAATAAAACCATGTCAAGCACTGGTCGAATTCGCCCCAATCGGTACGCAAGGCGCCCAACGTTTTCGAGAATTCAAATACCCAACATTATCCAAATTAGAACAACTATATTACTATTCAAAAAATGTCCCCGGTTCATCCTCCCAAAAAATTAATATACTACATCCCACATTCCATTATGCACGTGCTTTATTTAAACCAAGCAATTTTATTTTATTTTATGAAATAACGCAAATTATAACCTGACTATCAAACAATTAATCAAGTTTTACCTCATGCAACATATGTCTGCTTCGTCCTTAGGAGAATTGATATTAAATGTCCACGTCCCCATTTATATAGCTCCTAAAAACAATATCAACTACAAAACAATAAGTTACTATGCGACTAATGTGTCTGCCCATTTCTACCAAAAATTCGTAGATATATCACTTTCCCACTTAAGTGATTCAAACAATGAAACTACCGTGCTGTCCGTGCATATATTCTTAGTGCGCTAAGCAATCGGAACAGATACATTAAACAAGTAGGATCATGTTTTCAATAGAGAGTTTAAGATCTACGACGCGCCGGCTCAACGACGCGCTTGCGAAAGAAAGAAATCTGTCATGCAAGACAAAAACTGTGAATAAATTTGTGGTCCCAGGGGTATTCTCAACGGCTTTGTCATGCTCAGCAGGGGCCGGTTGTATAAAACTCTTAATCACTTTTTTAATCACTATTTTGTAGTTAAATAGTGATTAACTCTCAAATAGGCGCTTCTTATTGGATGACATTTCCACTTAACTATGATTAACTTTAATCACTTTTTTATACAACCGGCCCCAGCATTGCATCGCATTAGTCAAACGTAGCAGTTTGTAATGTTATTTGAAAATCGTCAAACCTTTATCACAGTAATGAAATTGCTTAGCGTTCATTTTTTAGCTGAAATTCAGACCGCGTCGTTGAGCCGGCCGCGTCGTAGATCTTAGAAACTCGTCGTAGAACTCTCCAATATAAAAAAAACCCTATTAAATACACGAATATCGCATGACAAACACTTCTCCCAAATGCAAAACTACACAAGAATGGACGTGATCGTGAATTAGGCCCGTTTCATACGCCGTATTTCACATGTGCCGAATACATTAAAAACAATAGGTAATGAGGCATTTCAGCTCATTATCTATTGTCTTTAATGCATTCGGCACATGTGAAGTACGGCGTATGAAACGGGCCTAATATTAGCTTTTAAATTCCGTAGCCTCCTCCGCGCAGGCATCTCACCCGAGGAATCGGGTGGTGGGAAAAACTTTGGTGAGATGCCTGCCATAAATTGACACAAAAATTTGCACTGCGCATACCGGATCGCGCATGCAAATTTCGACAAACTCTAACTTAGGGGGAGTAGGAAGGGCTTACGGCAAGGAGTGAAGAAATTTTTGTTTTCAACACGATGGCTTTTATAATATACAAGACGAGTAAAACTGTACTATTAACGAATAATATACTGCTCTTTAACATTGTAAATACACAGGGAACTTTGACTATGGAGCTGAGAGCGTTATCGTGAGCCGAGGCAGCGATTTACTGGGATTGTTTATAAACGACGAGTGGCTTTGCAGAGCAGTGAATTCACGTTGTCGTCGATTCATGTCAAGACAGTGTCTTAAGTGAAAGTTTATCGTTAATATATACAAATTTCTACTCAAATTGTTGACGACATTTTATAGCATAATAAGCTGAAAGTGCAGTGATTTAGTCGAAATTATAACACGAAAAGGAAAGAGCAAAAATTGTCCATATAAATCTACTGATTCACAGTTTGACATATGTGACTGTGTCTTCGGTATTAAATATATACCTCTTGCCTTGTATGCCATAAAGGAAACATTTCAAGTAATAAAAGTCTTTAAAACAAAGAGCTTTCTTATTGTGGAATACACTATGCAATTTATCCCTTGGACAGGACAAAGTTTTCAAACTGGCCGTGTCTCAGATGTGGCGAAAATTAGCAAAAGCTTTCTTAAATCAATGGCCCTGTTTATTATATGGATGTGAGTTACCTAGACATAAGGGAAAGGACAACTGGAATTTAATAAGAATTTAATAGTTCAGTTCCAAGTGACGGTTTATGTGGCGCGACAGGCAGTGGCAAAACGGAACCTTCTGAGGCCACCTGTAACATTTTTAAGTGGGGTCCTATTTTTCCGCCGGAAAAAGTTGGCAGGGGGGGGTGGAAACATCCTTTCGCATCATGTCTACTAAAAAAAGTGATCCAAATTTCACAATTTCAACAAATTTTCTGGCCCTCTATGGCTCTACCACTGACCAGTTTGCCCAATGTACGAGCAAAAGTTTTATGATCATTTCTTTCGGGGGCCCCCCAGGCTTAGGGGCTCCCCGCCACTGAGCACCCAAACACCCCCCAGTTACCTCAGTTATATACAGGGTATAAAGACCTCGGTCTCGATAACATTTGCCTTGGATTTGTTAATTAACCAATGGAGGCATTACATTCCATCTTGCTTGCCAAAGTTCACTGGCAAAATATTCATGGCCAAAATCCATTTTGCAAGCAAATTTCCCTGTAACCATACAAACAGTCACTGACGAAACTTCCCAGTGATAGCTATAGTGTTTTGCTATTGTTACAGTACACAGCAACCACCCTGTCCCAATATAGAATTCCTAAAAGCCTTTCAGTGGTGGCTATATATTAACTGTAAGCAGTGACAAGTTTACAACAATGAATACATTTGGTAAGTTTTAGATTAACCATTGTCTGCCGCTCATGCTCCCATTGAAGAGTAAAATTTCTGATGTTAGACAGAGTAAAAGCAGGGGTGTGCCAGCCAGGGATGAGACAACAAGAACTTGTTGTGGGCCCCTGGCATTGTAGGCTCTTACATGATATACATGATGATCTAGATTTACTATATTTTAACTCAATAATGTCAAGAGCAATTATATTTGAACATGAACAAGGAGATACATGTAATTAGAGAAAATGCATGAATTCTTTTATTTATAAAATCATGGATATCATGTGGTCAGTAACACAACTAGGTATATACTATATTAGAAAGATGTTAATACATGTCAACTGCTTTTCACAGGCATAGTGTCACAATGCAACTTAACGGGTTTAGCATATTTACATGATATTAAGGGGTGAGTGAGTTAAAAAAACTGCAATTCCAATTTAACTATTCAGTGGAGTCACCTTTGGGATAATAGTCCAATGCTCTGCCAACTGAGCTATGAGATCAAGTCGGTCCGAGTTGGTGATATTTCGGAACTGAGTTTAGTTCCTTCGGCTCAGTTGGCAGAGCATTGGACTAGTATTCCAGTGGTCACAGGTTCAAAGCCCATAATGGTCAGGCAAACTTTTAAGCTTGCCCGTTGGGGATGCACACTCAGAGTATTAACACCTCAAACATATTCATTCCAAATGGTCAAAACATAGAGTAATAAAAATGCTTTCATTATTTGGATATATGTAAGCTTTGCAATTTTATAATGATGTCATTTTACAACATGTCTATGAAAAATAGGAATACAAATTCATACTGAATTAGCCCATTGAGTGGCAGCACTCTCCCATTAATAGGTAAAACTGTTTAGTGTTAGAGTAAAATAATAAAGTAGGGACGGGTGCATCAGGGTGCAATGCCAAGGTTAATGCATAAAAAAAAGCCAATATAATATATATGTATATATATATATATATATATATATATATATATATATATATATATATATATATATATATATATATATATATATATATATATATATATATATATATATATATATATATATATATATTGCCAACTGTTCTCAATTTCAAATGTCAAATTCTAGGCTGATTAATTAATTAATAAATCTAATAAGAACACAATCAACTCATGTGTTTTTTACTTGCAAAGGAGAAATAACAGGGGTTTTAAATGAGGGAAGGGGGCTTAAAAGAGAATTGAATTTTTGACAACTCATAAGATTGCATAACTTCAAATATATTATGGTGGAGTGAAGTCTGTTTCACATATGTTGGCAGGTTATTGTTGTTAATAGAAATTCAACCTAATAAATCACAAAAGAATGTATGCACCAACAGCTGTAAACAATGGTGTGACGTTTTTGACAACACGGACGTCGACCGGAAGTAAAGTTTACGTTTTTCACCAATCACAGCCCTTGACCCAGTCTTCTGACGTTACTCATGCCATTCGTGTTGTCAAAAACGTCACTTGCTTAAGCCCACTTCTTACTTGCTACATCGCTTACTCGTTATCGTGACTGTCTTTTTTATTAAAATGCACATCAGGGAAACATAGTAAAAATCTATGGCAAGTTCATGGCAAAAGTTATAAGGTTGAACGGCGTAGATATTCGATTATTTTTCATGATTAGCTGCGCACATTGCATTTTAGGTATTTGTGCATTGCATTTTGGGTCTATCTGTTGATTAAAATTGAGAATTTTACCAGCTACATGAATTAAATTTGCTGCCTTGCTTGCTCCTTGCGCGCGGTAGCAATAATCGTTACATGTCAAATTTCCCCCCACTATAATAAAATAACTGGACCCCCCCTTCTGAACCAATATTTTTAGGTGCCCCCCCTTTTTTATCAAAAATACCTCATGACCCACCTCTTTTCTTGCCAGCCCACCCCTGGTCATATATAAATAATGAATCGTCCCTAAATTAAAAGCACTGAAAGTTGGGTTACTGAAATTTCCTGTTATTTTCCAGGCAATTCATTCAATTTTCATTCAATTTCCATTCAATTTCCATTCAATTTCCTTCCAAATTCGATTTCCTTCTTCTTTCCTGGCAAAAAGTGTAAAAAAACAAGGACGGCAGAGAAATGTCGTGGAATTTAAATTATTACGAAAAAATGTCACGGAATTTGCATTCGCAACCATTCCGAAGTCATTATATTCCATTCTGCATTTCCGCATTAGTGCTTTATTCCGCACGGCCATTCCGCGTTTTCACATTCACCGGAAATCCGAAAAATATTACCCTCTGTGACAACTGACAACATCTTCGGTATGCGTTGAATGCGTTCAAACGTTCGATATTCGGTATGAAAATGTTGTGTGCTTTTATTTCGCTATTTTCTTGCTTTTTCCTTGTGGTTTCAGCCGAGGATGTAGCTTGTCCAACTGGAGCTTCGTCTGGCTGTACATGTAGCAAGATTTCGGATGATCTGAAAGTTGAATGTAAAGACAACGACCAAATTACTGACATACCGGCATGGATACCAAACAATACGAACAGACTGGAGTTTGAAAATTGTGATATTCGCATCCTAAATCGTGACAGTTTCAAGAATCTCGTCAATCTAACTAATATAGAAATAGTCAAGCAAAGCCGTCGTCTTACCTTTAACGATAGTTCGGTTTTTCAAGGCTTGAATCGTTTGTCTAAAGTCGTCTTCGATGATAATAATATTGCCTCGCTCCCAGCTGGCTTGTTTGCCAATCTACCAAGTTTGGAGACACTTGGGCTCAACGATAATCCATTACCAACTTTGCCTGATGATTTGCTTCAAAACTCACCAAATGTTCAAACTTTTAACCTTGCGAATACAAAATTAGATAAAGATAATATTACTAAGATAGGCGAAGGACATTTTGGTAAAAATATTCAGGCTTTGTGGATCAGTGGCACATACATTCAACGTTTGAAGGATGGCTTATTTACTGGCCTACCAAAACTGAAAGCTTTATCAATTGGTAATTGTGGAATTAACTTTATCGGGGCAGATATACTAAAAGGAACTGAACTTGGCAGCATAACTCTTGATGGGAACCCAATCCAATCAATTGATGAGAATGCTTTCCGGGGTTCCAAAGTGCCTGTATTTCAATGTAATGGATGCCAGCTGATATCCAGTGTTACATTTAATGGCTTTCTGAAGAAAATGCCAGCGCTGTACAGCATTAACCTTCAAAATAATAATCTCACTCACGTTCCAAAGAATGCGTTTACTGAGCTAAGAGATCTGTCTATAATTGACTTATCGAGTAACTTAATTGCAACCATTGAAAGCAATCCTTATGGTGACTTGCCAAAATGTGGTACTACAACATGTATACAGCTTGATAATAACCCGTTCAACTGTGACTGTAACCTGGCTTGGTTACGATCCTTTGCTGACAAGATTGAAGGTGACAAAACATCCTGGAAATGTGTTGGACCGCCGAGTGTGGCTGGGAAAAGTTTGCTGTCACTTGAAATCAATGCGTTTTGTTGTGGAAGTGTGAACTCAACAAAGTGTGGTTTGCCCCAGCCAGCCACTCAGCCTACTCTTCAGCCTACAACTCGGCCTACTACTCAGTCTGACCCGGATCCTAACAATGGATGGATTGTTTCTGCTGATGGTATGATGGTAGCTATCTTGTCTCAGATTGTGATAATGTTTAGTATCCCTTAACTTTTTGTGTGACATTTTTAGATTCAGCTACTTTAATCAGAATATTATATTACTAGGCCTCTCCAAATTAGGCTTTAGTTTCCTGTCCGGCCCTTATTTCATATTACACGTGGGCGGGCGGTCCATTTCCATTACCATTAGAATTAATGTCTGAAAGAATCTGACACAACTCGTTATTCGTAATTCCATGAAATAGATCCACGCTTTAAACGTCCATTCAACCATGTTTCTATGGATTGTTTTGGATTTTGTGTATGAAAGCCATGAAAGCAATGAAAGCAATGAAAGCCATGCTATTAGTTAACATTATCCTTTTATTATGTTCGCGAAAATCAAAACGTGTAACAGAAGTGTCTAACTCCGCGGCCGCTACAGTAATAAAAACGAACAAAGACAACAATTCACAATCCCGTTCTTTCAGGAAAGTTTCATTATGTTATAAATATGTATTTAAGTTCTTTAATTGTAGGTTTGCATGGCGATAAAACATATAACACTTTTGTTTGTGGAAACACCACGTAAATTCATTACTGCAAATATGTATTTCTTGAACAATAGATTGGAAAACTGTGCATTTTCGTTTTTCTTAGTCATAAAGGTCAAATAATGGAAACAACTTAGCAATTATGGACAAATTATGCGGCAATTTCTAGGAGACGCGTAGGTGGAGGAAAGGAAACTAAAGTTTAATTTTGGAGTGTCCTTATACTGCATAATTATACAAATTACAAAATCAAAATGTATGGTTTCGAGATACTGGTTTGCCTTTGAATTTGCACTAAATTTTAAGCCTGAGGTACTTGCGATCAATAGCTATTGTAGCCTATATCTTAGTGAAAATTCCCTTATGGCAGCAACAATAGAGTTCCCTTTATTTCACAACTATGAAAGATATGGATCCAGGATAAAGCAGATTCTGGTGACCACAAATCAACAGTGATGTACATTAACCCATTAAGTTGCATTGTGCCAATCATCCTTTCATTCTATACCTCTAGTTCGAACTGAAAGATTTCAGCGTTCTTTTGAAAATACGTGTCTGTTTGAATATTTTTAGTTTTTGATTGCATGCATATAAATTATTGCATAATATTGTAAATATAGTAAATAGTAATAAAGTATAATAAGCCAATCAAATGTATAACTGTATATCAATGTCAAATTTTTAATTAAAAATTTAGTTTCTAATCTAGACTTAGCATGATAACAGACCTACGTTTCACCCGCCCTAAAATTCGTCGACGGAAAGGGTGAAACGTAGGTCTGATGAAAATGTTGTCAAAAGCGCCTTCCGCCCACTTTGCATTTTGCAATCATTAACGATGATGATTGACACAACATGTAATACCTAAAAATACAATGAAAGTTGTCGATTTCACTTTATTGCAAGTTTGTAAACTAGTAAGAGTCGATAAGTACAGATATTCGAATAAATATTTAAAATATTGGTAACCCCATGGAGCCCGTTGCTTTTATATACTTAAACCTTTGTAAAAAAACAGTTACAGCTAGTAATAATACAACATTTTCAACACATTCTATAAATATGCGCTAAAATCTGCCTATACGCAAATTTGGCAATGGCCAATGTGCCATTGTTGAATTGCATCCCAACTCTTACAATTTATACATTTGAAATCGCCATACAATGGTAAAATCTAAATAAAATATTAGTTGTACGTGCTATGTTATCAAAATGTAAATCATGAATGCGCACATATTTGTATCCGAGTTTTATTATGATTATAATCACAAAACTTAGATCGTGTATAAAAAATTATATATTGTATTGTTTATTACAACGGAAAGATACAACGCTGAAGAATTTGACACGTACTGCTCTACTCCCCTCTAGTTTTAATTTTAGACGGTAAATACTGATCATAGACTAGTTTTAATAATGTAATTTATAATTTTATATGCGTTGATTTACCGTTGAAAATATTCTGATGTTTTCAAATCTTTTCATGTTAGCGACCAACCAATCACAAATCCATTTCCCTGTGAATTAGCCAATCAGCTTTGTCGACCGCCAGGCGGTCGACTTACATGCACTTTTGACAACATTTTCATCAGACCTATGTTTCGCCCTTCCTCGACCCACGAATTTTAGGGCGGGCGAAACGTAGGTCTGTTATCAGGTTAATCTAGACTCTATATGCTGTGCGGAGTGGTTATATTGCTAACTTAAAAAATAAGCAGAAACTCGACGTTTCGAGCGAATGCCCTTCGTCAAGAGTTAGTAACGCTACTAACTCTTTGAAGAAGGGCCTTCGCTCGAAACGTCGAGTTTCTGCTTATTTTTTAAGGTAGCAATATAACCACTCAGCACAGCATTTTCACTTTGGTACTACCAACACTGGTACAGACAGTTTTAATCTAGACTCTATAGTCTTTGCAGAAGCCAATTGCAATATCGCATCAAAAAATTATTAAACGGAAGCGCCGTACATATATAAGTCTTTAGTTTTCACCACAGCCCTGGTACTCGAAGTCCGATCCGATTAGTTAACCTGCACCGTTGCACGAGAACGAGCGAATAGCCTCATTTAAGGTGGCTCAATACAGTTTTTTATTCACGATTTAGATGCGTATTTTTGGACAATTATTACTTGTTGATAAACAAAAAGTACCTTACTTATATAAAACAACATCAAAAGAGTTTGAATTTTTGCATAAAAGATACGCAATTGCCGTTGCTATGGCAATAATGACGTTTCAGGATGGCGGATATTTTGGCTTTAAAGAAATTTGGTTTTGCTACGAACTTGGAGAAAGCGGTTCTCGAATCCCCAAATGCTATTGGTTAATATTGATCACGTGCCCACAGTTTCACTCCCCTTTCACTTTCTCTCCCCTATTATTTATTGTAAGTTTCGCGCGTATTTACAAAACAGTTACATGCAATACAATCTGTACAGCGGACGACCATGTGAAAATAGCCTGCAAAGAAGGCGCGTCGAAGGGCGACAATATTTATACGAAAATATTACGAAAGTTTATATGGCTTGTTTATGGTATTTACGTATTTAAAAACAGTGTTTTAGTGTTTATATGCAAATTAGCAAACGAAAGAAGACAAGGACTACCTATTCACAGATTTTACAGCCATATACAGGTACGCAAGTCTCGAAAAGAATACTGCAACCCTGGGTACGAGGATGAATACTGCGGTGCTCCCTTGCTCTCACGAGGTATTATGGTATCAGACAATAAACAGACGTTATAATGCGTCTAGTTTCGAGGCGAAGAATATTCTTGCCTTCCAGCCTGCTATGCACTAACTAAATGAATGAATGAATGAATGAATAGTTTGTTTGAATGAATAGTTTGTTTAATAAAAACATCATCTGGCAGTCAGAAGACTGAATTACATGACGTTAA